TGGTACTGTGATGTTGGCATTTAATGCTGAGTTCATTAGTAAGTGGTGAAGAATGGTGGCGATTCCAGTGGTTAGAGTAGTTCTTCCAAGGAACGCTAGATAAAACATTTGTTCACTGTCTCAGAGAATATTATTATCTAATATCTTTTGGTCAGGTAGTAGTAGTTATGGGATAAGTGTTAATCTCTCTTTTCGAAAATATCAAACTGAGGGGTGCCTGGCTGGCTCAGTTGGTGGATTGTGCAACTCTTGATCTTGAGGTTGTGAGTTCAAGCCCCACGTTGGGTGTAGAGATTACTTAAAAATAAATTCTTAAATCAAAATGATCAAACTGAGATACTGACTTGGTGAATTGTGCGGTCACTTGTGACTTAAGAGCCAAACTTTTTTTTTTTAAGATTTAATTAATTTATTTATTTGAGAGAGTGTGCGAGCAGGGCGGGGAGCAGAAGGAGGGGGAAAGAATCTCAAGCAGACTCTGTGCTGAGCACGGAGCCCCATGCAGGGCCGGATCTCACAACCCTGAGATCATGACCTGAGCTGAAATCAAGAGGTGGATGCCCAACTGACTGAGCTACCCAGGTGCCCCAAGAGCCAAACCTTTTACCTGAAAACAAAACGAAACCTCAAAATTCAGGTCTTTTGATAAGATAGCACCAAACCTTATATTCCTGTGTTACATTTAATTTCATGGTGTCAGTGAAGTTGTTAATTTCTGGTGGTTACTGCTTTATCAGTCCCTTAATTTTTCCATCTATTCTCTTGAATAATACATTTACTGAAACACCGTTTTCTGGGTGCCTGGCTGGTGCAGTCGGTAGAGCATGGGACTCTTGATCTTGGGGTTGTGGGTTGAGCCCCATGTTGGGTGTAGAGATTACTTAAAATCTTAAATAAAAGAAACGCCCTTCTCTTTCCCTTGTCTGCCAACTTATTTATCTTTTTTTTCTATCTTTTTTATTGAGAAATAACTGACATATACCACTGTGTAAGTTTAAGGCATAGAGCATGATGGTGTAATTTACATATATTGTGAAATGATGACCACGGTAGTTTCAGCTAACATCCATCTTCTCGTGTATATATATATATATTTAAAGATTTTATTTATTTATTTGAGAGAGAGAGAGAATGAGAGAGAGAGAGAGAGCACATGAGAGGGGGGAGGGTCAGAGGGCGAAGCCGACTCCCTGCTGAGCAGGGAGCCCGATGCGGGACTCCAGGATTGTGACCTGAGCCGAAGGAACTCACTTAACCCACTGAGCCACCCTGGCGCCCTTCTCATATATTACTTATCTTTCTAATTGCAGCTTCCTGCTCTGAAGCTCTGCCACAGCACACCCAACTCCTTACCTCTTCATGTCTCTCTAGCCGTGTGGACTTTCCTGTCAGAGCTGTGATCACCCTATGTTGTCATTGTCTCTTGACCTATTTCCTTGTTAGACTGTGACATCCTGGAGGGTAGGGGTTCTATCTTTTCTCGCTATGTCCCTGTATCCCCGCTTGTACCCTTACTATCCATTTAAACCTAGGATTTCAGCTTATCGTTCTGTAGGCCCTAACCCTAGCCTTCACCCTATGCCTGGTGCATGGCAGGTGCCAAATAAATGTTTGCTAATGGAAAGAACATTGTCTTAATCCTAAGACTTTTATACTTCCAGACCCGTAAGAAACAAAAGGAAGAAGTGGACGTCGTAGGAATCAGTGACGGAGAAGGTGCCATTGGGCTCAGCAGTGACCCCAAGAGCCGGGAACAAATGATTAATGATCGAATTGGTTATAAACCCCAACCCAAGCCCAATAATCGTTCATCTCAATTTGGAAGTTTCGAATTTTAGAGGCAGATTATCTGGCATGCCAGAGCCCTGGAATGGAGTAAAATGCTGGCAGAAGTACAAACAAGATTTAGAGAATTGAGTGCTTGCAGTCAAGCAGAATGTTTTACCTCCTGCAGAGAAACACTTCTGCATGAGATTACTGATGCTTAACTTTTGCTCTAAGTGGAAATCTAAACTCTAGTTTGTCTCTGGAAAATTTGACTCTATAAAACTTGTCTGATTTTTGTTTTTAAAAATAAATATATTTTTGGAAAAGTGTGCAACACCTTTAATGAAGCATAATCATAGCACTGTTAACCCCCCAGGCTTTAAAAGGTAATTGCTACAAGAGGTAACATCATTCCTCCCACCTTTATTAAGAGACTTGAAGCACACAACACTTCAGTTGATCCCTGTTACTTTCTTTCAACTCATCTATTCAGCAAGTATTTTATTGAGTGCCTGTTATGTGCCAGATACTGTTCTAGGCACTTAGTAACATCAGTGAACAAAATCAAAGATCCCTGCCCTTGTGGAGATTAGATTCTAGTGATTTTGTGTAAAGGTGGTCATGCTGTTGAGTTTCCAGAATCTGTTTACAGAATGGCTTTGTAGCTAGTCTGAGTGTAATTTGGGGAGGGGAACAGTGGAGGGAAACACAGTGATAGGAATGCTCCTAACAGAATTACCATCATTCCAGTTTTCCTTCCTTTTCCAACTTGCCTAAGAATTTTTCCCACTAAGAGCCAATCAAGAGGGTGATTGAGAATCATGTTGGCGCCTGGCTGGCTCAGTTGGAGGAGCATGTGACTTGTGATCTCGGGGTCATGAGTTTGAGGCCCACTTTGGGTGTAGAGATTACTAAAAAAATAAAGTTTAAAAAAATCATGTCCTGTTGTTTTTACCATTTAGTTCAACTACAGGGAACTGCAAACTGTGGTAGAAGGAACCTCTGGAGTCATCAGTTCTGAAGAGACCCCTTAGCAAGATTTTGCCCAGTTTTTCTAGGGGTAGCTTAAGGCTGGGTATTAAGAATGTGGAGGAAGGGCGCCTGGATGGCTCAGTTGGTTAAGTGTCTGACTTTGGCTCAGGTCCTGATCTCGGGGTCCTGGGGAGTCTTCTTCTCCTCCCTCTGCCCCTCTCCCTGCTCGTGTGCTCTCTCTTCACTCTCTCGAAGATGAATAAAATCTTTTAAAAAAATAAAAAGAATGTGGCAGAGGCAGGGAAAGGAGGATATAGTTTCTCTTCTTCCTCCAACCATTCTTAGAAAACCTTTATTCTTCGTTTGATCTAGGTCCTTCAATTCTGTTATTTTAATGGTCTTAAAGACACAGCAAGTCAGGCTCTAGATGGGAAAACTGAGTTACATCACCTTGAAGCTTACAAAGGCCAATATGGAAGGGCAAAAAACGGGAGAAACAAGTCTCTGCCTAAGCTCTGTCACTGGCTTCCCAGCACAAATAGGCACAGAAGCATGAAAACATTGTGCCTCCTGAATTTCTGCTTCCCTCCTGATTAGCCAACACTCAGAGGCACTACACCGAGTGCTTTCTGCTTATCTCAATCTTTTAACTCCAGTGAGAGTACTAGATACTAATTTTATAAAAGGTGAAACGAATGCTCAGCTAATTAAGGGGTAGAGCTGCAATTTGAACCAGGCATACTGATCTCTGAACCCAAGTTTCTAAACTTTATTGCTACACTGCTTTCCCAGTCACACTGCTGGGTCTAGAAAGTGGGGTTCTCAGGGGTGGAGGGACGGGATGCTGTTTCAGTTCTCATGAAATTTTATCTATCTTATGCTATTTTATCTATAAAGAATGAGACATTCACCAGATTAGATAATGGCTTCTTTATTGCCTATTGCAGCTGTAAATCCTTTTAGACACAACTGAAATTACATGCATTGGTTCTCTTATTCCTTAGGTCCTAGGGTTCATTTCTAGAATATGGTCAAGTGCTTGTGAAGAGATACTAAACTCATCCAGAAGAGCTTACCTTTAATTTCCTGAAAGCTGGAGTAAAAATAATCAGAAAGTTACTATGGTTTGGTTGCCTATTAAGTACTAGGTGCTTTATATATATTGCTCCTAAATTGAAATGGTACTGTTACTGCCTTTTTTATAAATGAGAAAAAAATTAAAATTTTGTCTTTTTTTTTAAAAAGATTTTATTTGGGCGCCTGGGTGGCTGAGATGGTTAAGCGTCTGCCTTCAGCTCAGGTCATGATCCCAGGGTCCTGGGATCGAGTCCTGCATCGGGCTCCCTGCTCCTTGGGAGCCTGCTTCTCCCTCTACCTCGCTCTCTCTCTGTCTCTCATGAATAAATAAAATCTTTAAAAAAAATAAAAAAGATTTTATTTATTTATTTTGACAGAGAGAGAGAGAGAGAGACAGCGAGAGAGGGAACACAAGCAGGGGGAGTGGGAGAGGGAGAAGCAGGCTTCCCACCAAGCAGGGAGCCCAGTGCAGGACTCGATCCCAGGACCCTGGGACCATGACCTGAGCTGAAGGCAGACGCTTAACCACTGAGCCACCCAGGCACCCCCTATAATATATATATATTTATGTATGTGCAAAAAGGTGGTTTTATTGAAGCACAGGGACAGAACCTGTGGGCAGAAAGCTGCTGCTTGTCATTTTTATTTTCAAATATTTATTTGACAGAGAGAGACACAGCAAGTGAGGGAACACAAGCAGGGTGAGTGGGAGAGGGAGAAGCAGGCTTCCCACCGAGTTGGGAGCCCAATGCGGGGCTCGATCCCAGGATCCTGGGATCATGACCAGAGCCGAAGGCAGACGCTTAACGACTGAGCCACGCAGGTGCCCCTATTTTTATTTTTATATTTTTTAAAGATTTATTTGAAAGAGAAAGAAGGTGAGCAGGGGGAGGGGCAGAGGGAGAGGGAGAGAGAATCTTCAAGCAGATTTTCCGCTGAGCATGGAGCCCCACACCAGGCTTGACCCCTGAGATCATGACCTGAGCCGAAGCCAAAAGTCGGACGCTCAACCGACTGAGCCACCCAGGTGTCCCAAGCTTGTCATTTTAAGTGGACAGGAGAGTGAGATGAAAACTATAAAGGGATCTTGCCACTTAAAAAGACTGACATCTTAAAAACTTGTGGTAATGGCCAATGGAGAGACCACTTATCCTGATGATCACTCTGGGTAGAAAGACATGCAATAGAATCACAAAATCAAAATATTTATTTTGTTCTTTTACATATGACACTGTTAACACATTCCTACTACAGCAATACTGCTCTCCAGGAGCTTACAATCTAAAACGGTCAACATTAATTGTAGACTCAGTGATTAAGGCATTATATCAAATGCAGACTTTGTATCTTTAGATGTATCTTCTGAAAGAAACATATGGAGAGAGCAGGATCAAAATGAAATGACATGAACGTGTAACCCCTGCCCCCTCCCCTTCCAGCTCCTTATAAGAAACCCCTTGTGGCTAGATTCCAAGCCCAGAGCCTCACAGTCTGAAATAGAATTCCAGACAGCCCTACCATAGAAGTAGTGAACAAACCTTAATTTCTAATTCCCTGGTGGACACAGAGCATTCCCCGTTTGTAGGCAATGAGGGGCTAAGTGTTCCTCCAAGTTCCTCCTTAGACAGCACCTAAGATTCTGTAACTGCTGATGTACCAGTAGGTAGGTACCCCTTCTAGCAATTCCAATAGGGCAATTTCTCCTCAAAATGTGCGTCAGGTCTCTACTAAGCTTTACAACTTCTGGTTGGTATCTCCACTGCCTCGGGAGGGCTAGGGAGATTTCATCAACTGGATACATGGGATTAAAGACTGAAAGAAAGGGAAAGGAAAGCAGAATAAGGGGCCAAAGAAATGGGGATACAGGCTTCTCAGAGATGTGAACAGGGAAGGAGGAAAAGAAATTTGGATCCAAAAGAACAAAAGTCAGGCACTAAATTCCAAATCAACAGGGATACAGAAATGAAAGTCAATCAGATCATTATCACAATCTAAGAGCTCAAAGAAAGATGGAATTTAAGCTTTAAATTTTTTCTCCTTCACTAGCTTCCTCCTTTGGCAACCTAATCTAAGAATTGCTGGAATTCAGGTTTTTCAGGACACTCTATCTTGAATACCTGAAGACCTATCCCAGACTGATGTTTCTCCATTGAGTTTCAAATTCACAGCACTTTATCTTAACTGGCCTTGATTTTTGTTACCTTACTGATAAGGTCCCGTTTCTGAAAGGGTATTTTATAGCAGCTCAGGCCAAGATTTCTAGAGAGCACCAGGGTCACTTTTACATGGAGTCTTATTTTATTTCTCACAGTTTTATTATTCCTTGGCTACTGAGACAATAATTGGCTATTACACCTTCATTTTGGACTCTCTCACTACCTGTCATTCACTCCGCTCATGCAAAATATCAGTACCGCAAGGGGTTGGAATGAGAGAAAAGCACAAAACTCTAAATGTTGGTTCTCAGATTTTACCCTCGATCCAGTAAGCTCGTAACCTTCTCTTGGTTTAAAGCCATGAAAGTACACATTCCTTGCTCTCCAATATTTAACTGGCACCCATAGAGAAAGTACAAACTTCAAAACCACAACAGAAGCCAACAGAATAGTTGCGTGTTGTCTCATGTGCCCTGAGGCACGACTGGAGTCTAGCACCACGGAGGGCAGGATTTAACAGACCAGCACGGGAAGAGTCACTTCACATAGGGAGTCTGGACTGAGGACCAGACTGTAGTGTAAACTAACTGAACAGAATAAAAATACAATATGATTCTTCACTGAGAAAAAGAGGTTTTGGCCACATGTGATCTATCGAAATCCCCAAGAGTAACAAAGAAGTCACATAGAGAACGAGGATCTGCTTGGTGTGGACATGGATACTGGGGGCTGAGGAAAATCTGGTCATCAGCAGACCATACACTAAACCTCTCCGAAGCGAGGGTTGGGCTTTTGCCCTCCTGACCCATGACTGGCTGGTTTTACACTGCAGATCAAAGGTCTTCCTTAATCTTGGAGCTACTTCCAAGAAACCACAGACCTTTAAAAATAAAGACTGGTGATTTCATACATACTGATGAAAGTTACTTTGGCTACAGCCCTTGGGCACACGTACACACAGCTGGAGCTGAATACATGTTTGTGGAACGATTAAGTATTGACCAGCAGCATTTAGTACACGAATTAAGCTTAGACATACCACCTACCAATTGCCAATTCAAATTCCTGTGCCCAGTACCAGGTAGCTCACCCCACCAGGTGACACTTCCTTAGTTTAAAGCAGAGATTCTCAAAGCATGGTCCCCTGACCATCAGCAGGGACATCACCTGGGAACTTGTTAGAAATGCCAATTTTGGGGCTCCGGGTTGAGGCCCAGAAACTAGTGTTTTACCACTAGTTTTAACACTTGTTTTAACCAGCCCTCCAGGTGATTCTGATGCAGGCTAAAGTTTGAAAACGGGTTTAGAGGCCAACACCTGAAAACAATAACGAAAGAAAACAATTTACACTCTTTTGCTTCATTCAGCTGTGACAATCCAAGGTACCGAAAGTAAAGTATCAATGGTTTTATTTTAAAATACCTATTTCTATTTTTCTCAAATTGATTGTCATCTTTTCTTTTTTTGATTGACAAGTTCATTCTGATCAAAATGTTAAGTAGGAACACAAGTTGATGAGTCAGCCACCCAAGAATGCACACACACTTCTGCAAGCTCCAGGCTCATATTTAGTCTCAAACCACCTTTCTGCAAACTACCGCGGTTTCGGTACCACACATCACACTGAAAGGCACCATGTACCTCATACTCCTCGCATCCAAAGACTGCAGCTCACTTTTCAATGTTAGGTTTGGGTTCTGGGTTTAGTTGGGCAAGAATTTCCCTCAGCTGCCATCAATCCTAGCTGAAGTGACTCTCTCTCCATCACCGGCCCAAAAAAACCCCACCAAAGTCACATAGTGTCTGTTAACCAAATAAAAACAGAAGACTACAAAAGGAAGCAGTGATCAAGTCATTGAACAGAAAGCGACCTGACTTGGACAAGAACATATAATTTGGATCTAGGATGATGGGGGAGGAGAGGACATCCCCTGAGGGAATCTCAGCTCATTAGAAACAAACAGGGAGGTTCTCACTTAGCTCAGAGACTGTAGGCTAAACCTGTGTTGGGGGGGGGGGGGGGAGGGAGAGAGAGAGAGAGAGAGAGAGAGAGAGAGAGAGAGAGAGAGAGTGTGTAAGGACATAAGGAGCTAAACCTCTGTTGAGCAGGGGTGTGTGTGTAAGGAGATAAGGAGCAAGAAGGGAAGATTGGAGTAGGAATCACATCTTTAAGTCTTGAACTGCTTCCCACTGCAATAGATAAGGCCGCACCAGGGAGTTTAACGTTAATGGCAATGCTCTGTGATGTCCACGACCACTGCCTTCTTCCAGCTGAAGAGGAAATATCCAGTGCCGGCCCCAGCGGCTACTGCAATGCAGAGGTAGCCGTTGTAGGTCATGAAGATGAGCATGAGGAAGTAGCTGATGACCACTTGGATGATATGCAGCACTGTCTGCAGGAGGTGAGGAAAGCTCAGCATCTGTTGCCTGGAGAGTAAACAGGGACACAACCATCAGGGACCCTTAGGAGTGTTCAGGCAGCTCTGCAGATCAGGATAAAGGGGGAGCAGTTGTGCTTGGGAACTCAGCTTGAACTGGACTCCTTCACAGCCATCCTGGCAACTCATGGCTACTTGTGTGTATGTATGTTGTTTACGGTCCCTGGAAATTCAACTTGATAGGGCTGCCTGGATAATCAGCATTGGCCAGATACAGTTCTATGTCAGCAGGAGGAACCCTCTTGGAGAGGAGAGGAGAGGAGAGGAAGGAGGACTAATCCCCTAACTTACCTCTACCTTGGCTCCTATAAAAGGGAAGCCCTAAACCCTCCCCTACTTTATTTAAACATGTTCAGGCCTTCCACCTTGGCAACGTTCACATTCTAAAGAATGGAAATAGAATTGACGGTTGGGTGGTATAGTACAAAGTACTTAACCAGGGGTCAGGAGCCTTGGCTAGCCCCTCTGTCGCTCACTAGTTCTATCACCTTAGGTAAGTCACAACATGTTTGGGCTTTAATAAGCTCATCAGTTACAATGGGAATAAATAACATTGTGGTTACTTGAAAGTAGCATATTGATCTATAGGATTCCTTGAACTCTAATTTAGTTTAAGACCTACATTTCTATTAAAACTCAAAAATCTCAAAAAGCATTTGCCCATCTGTGGGAAAGCCAGTAGTCATCCAAATACTTGCATTGACAGAATACAGACATCCGTACATCTTATATTGTAAAACAAAATTAAAATAGAGCTGGGAGCATACAATTTGTTATAGGAAAGAACCAATTGGATTCTGTCATTCTTTTATACCTGACCTGAATTTCTTTTAATCTGCATATTATTATTTTGGCAAACATTTTTTTCCTTTTTCAATTTGGGCAAATATTTTTAAAATATAGATTCCTTACCTTCTTACAGTGACCAAGACTTACAATTTAGAACAAATGTTCATGCTCAGAAGTGTTCCTATCATTCCTTCTTTGGCCTGCTCATGATTCACAACCTTAGCCTCCAGAGACAGTTTTCATCAAGGTCATATAGAATCACTACGAACTCAAGAAGAGGACTGTTGCTAATAAAACAGCTGCTTTGCAGCTTAACTCATCCAGCTCTCCAGAACTTCTGTCTAGATCTGTTCAGTCTTCTTACCCAACGGTTTTGTGTGTCTCCATGAGGATGGTTCCATTTGGTCCTGGGACGGGCATGGAATTGTAGCGGATGCTGACTTGTGACTTGCGCAGCAGGCTTTCTCGGGCTATCTTGAGTCCTTCATAGAACATTGCTAGTAAAAACACTGCCACAAAAGCTCCAGCCATTTCTAAGTAGGGAAGGAAAAGATGGTGGTACAGTCACACATGCAAAATCACTAGCTGGTGTGCTGTCCAAGCGAGAGAGACAACATAGAAGAGAGCTACTCTCAATTTCCAAATACATTATATTGCTACCTCTCTACTTGCACAGGCAGACAGACAGACAGAGAGGGAAAAGAGTGAAGATGGTTTTCAATTAGTGAAAACCATTGTCTCCACTGGAGAACATACTCATTTTCTGATTATGACACAAAAAATCATCTGAACAACAATCACCTGGCTACCTGGTATCATAAATCAGCTTGTTATGACACAATGTAGAATATGCAAAAGGGGAATAAAACAACATTTTTGTTTGTTTTTATTTTTTTGTGACTGTGGTGATAGATAGATATATATATATTTTAAAGATTTTATTTATTTGACAGAGAGCACAGCAGGGGGAGTGGCAGGCAGAGGGAGAGGGAGAAGCAGGCTCCTCGCTGAGCAGGGAGTCCTACGTGGGGCTCGATCCCAGGACCCTGGGATCATACCCTGGGCCGAAGGCAGACGCTTAATGACTGAGCCACCCAGGTGCCCATAAAACAACATTTTAAAGTGTTGACTACTTCCTTGAGCAAAGGGGAAAAAACTAGAGAGATAAATCAAGAAACACTCTTATAGAGAACACACTGATGGTTACCAGAGGGGAGGGGAGTGGGGGGGATGAGTGAAATAGGTGATGGGGATTAAGGAGGGCACTTGTGATAAGCAAAGGGTAATGTATGGAATTGTTAAATCACTGTATGTTAAATCACTAAATACACCTGAAACTAACACAACACTATGTTAACTAACTAGAATTAAAATAAAAACTTAAAAAAAAATAAAGTGCTATTTCTTGAAAAGACATTTCAGTGTTTTTTTTTTAAGATTTATGTATTTTTAGGACGCCTGGGTGGCTCAGTCGGTTAAGCGGCTGCCTTCGGCCCAGGTCATGATCCCAGGGTCCTGGGATCGAGTCCCACATCAGGCTCCTTGCTCAGCAGGGAACCTGCTTCTCCCTCTCTCTCCCTCTGCTTGTGCTCTCCCTGTCAAATAAATAAAATCTTAAAAAAAAAAAGATTTATGTATTTTTATTTGAGAGAGAGAAAGAGCGAGAGCCAGGGGGTAGGAGAGAATCCTTAAGCCGACTCCAATGCAGCGCTCAGTCCTAGGACCCTGAGATCATGACCTGAGCCAAAATCAAGAGTTGGACGCTTAACCGACTGCACCACCCAGACAGACGTAGTCTTTCACACTGTGAAGTGTTGCTAATGATATGAATATACTCAAACTGCTGATTTAACACACTACCTGAACTAAATGCTACCTCTTTCCCCAAATTGATTTGTGTGGCTCCAAAGATATACCTGATACTTAAAGCAGTCCAACTGACCACTGAGCTTGTGCAATTTGAATTTAAGGCATGCCCCCTCAACATTACAGACATACAAAAATGGGTATTAGTTACCCCAAAAGTAGGATTGACACTAAGATGAGCCATGTGAAGACTCAGGAATGATGTAGACCAGTTTGATATGCTAGACAGATCACTGGAGTAGGCAGGTCTAGAAAGTCTGGGTCCCTGCCCAATCTCTGACACACTCACACTGTGTGATTTAGGGCTAATCATTTCCGTATTTGAGACTTAATTTATCTGTAAAATGGAAGGATTGTACTGGATGATTAGCTCTCCACCTAGGGTTATTTTGTGGTCTGTTTACAAAATGCTTCTTATATCATTTTAACTTGACTATAGCCTTATGTCCAGGATCAATAACTTATCAAATAAGGAAGCACTCTGGAAAAGGATGAAAGGAAATGGATTTGCGAAAGACTCCTATCTGGTTTCTAAATTATTTTTCAGAAACTCTGAAACACACGCAAGTTATTATTATTTTTTAAGTAGGCTCCACACCCAGCATGGAGCGCAATGCAGGGCTTGAACTCATGATCCTGAGATCAAGACCTGAGCTGAGATCAAGGGTCAGATGCTTAACCAACTGAGCCACCCAGGCACCCCATAACATACACATATTATTCAAGGGAGGTTTACTATAGGACCAAAGTAAGCATTGTGTATCCTTACCTTCTAGGTAGTTAAGAGGAAGATGATTATGTATCACAACCATAAGCATTCAGTACTTATGGCAGGAAGAGGTGCTGGGTTTCCAGATTCTTTGTCACTGTCTCTCATGTGAGTGTCACCTCTGAATACCACCTGATGAGGGTGGCTTACTCACCTCCAGCTGTATTGATGACCAAACCAGAAAACAATAGCTCCACATTCTTGAAGCCGAAGTAGAAGGTCATATGCTGCCGGTAAACCAAAAACAAGTCAATTAGAGAGGATTGAAGATTCTAAGTAAGAGACATTCACTGAAGTGGGAGACTTTCTCCTTCATTACTACCATACACACTCTCCACAAGTACTCTCCCTTGCTTTCCCTCCAACCTTTTCTCTCTCTCTTTTTAATTTTAATTCCAGTATAGTCAACATACAGTGTTATGTACGTTTCAGGTGCACAATGTAGTGATTCAACAATTCTATGCATTCCTCAGTGCTTATCATGGTAAGTGTACTGTCTTTTTCTCTTTTCTATACAAAGCATGAATACCAGAACTTAATTCAGAAAAGGGTCAATCCTGAAAGGAAAGAATACAGAAGAGTTCTAGAAATCATGATTCTGGTGGGACTCTGAAATTAACCTGCCACATGATCTTGGGCAAATCATTTGTCTTGTCTTTGCGCTTTTCCTCCTGGGTAAACTGATCTTTAAAGATAATAACCTGCCAGACCTAAAACTTGATTATTTCTATTACTCAAGTGGGTGTAAAAGGGTAGCCTCTCCCGTAGCACTCACCATCATCATGTTGCCCATTCCCCCGCCATGGGAGTGGGAGGCCGAAGTGGTTGGATGATGGTGATGAGGTATTGTTGTACTGTTGTAAGCCATGTGGCTTGTCTCTTTATGGTGGGAATGGTCCAGGTTTCCAGGAAAAGTGGAGTCAGCAGGAGATTCTTTTAAGAAAAAGAATTATACATAATAACTTCATGATATAAAACCTTGATTTTTTTTTAAGATTTTTTATTTATTTGTTAGAGCATGGGTGAGAGAGTGAGCAAGGGTACAAGCAGGAGGGGCTGCAGGCAGAGGGAGAAGCAGGATCCCTGCTGAGCAAGGAAGCTGATGCGGGACTCCATTCCAGGGCACCGGGATCATGACCTGAGCCGAAGGCAGTCGCTTAACCAACGGAGCCACCCAGGCGCCCTAAAATCTTGATTCTTGATAACTATTTATGTGGGATTTCATCCAATACGGATTACCTTTGGAGATTGTGGCACAAGGGATTTGCATCTAGGGTTTCAGAGACCTAAGCCTTATTCTGCAAAGTAGTTCCTTTAATAGATATGTTCAATGTATGTTCAAATTTAAATCTAAGATAAGGAGAAGAAAAGTAGTTTCTTTGGGTTGCAGGAAACAATTTGTAATAGTGGACAAATTGATGCCATTAATGAAATTTAACTGCTCTAAGGCTTTCTAATCGTCAATGTCAGTAGATAAAATGCAAGTGCTTCAAATAATTCACCTAATTGGATGGTCTGTGTTCAATCAAGATATTAAGAATACATTTTCACATACAGGACAACCAGCCTACGGCTAATCTAAACTTGAATTGAAGGTCTATTACTGCCCTGGGCAAGCAGTGTGCTGAGAGGATACAATTTCAGTCCTAGCTCAGCATTAGCGCTAAGAACACTGAAAACAAGGTATAAATTGAATATTCTATATTAAATTAAGTCCAGACAACTGGATATATTCAGCCTTGTGTCTTTACTACCACATCACTGCTTTATTGCAAAAGTCCATCTGGGACATAAACCAAGGAGCAAAAACTCCTGTAGCTGGGGTGGGGGTGGGGAGTGGGGAGTGGGAAGCCGAAAAGAGAGGTGTTGGTGGATTCTCTTTATGTGTCTTTTGACTCCAGTTTGTGGTGGAAAGAGTGCTTTAGAAATTCCCAGTAGGGGAGGGTGCCTGGGTGGCTAGTTGGTTAAGCTTCTGACTCTTGATCTCAGCTCAGGTCTTGATCTCAGGGTCATGAGTTCAAGCCCTGAGTTGGACTCCATGCTAGGTGTACAGTTTACTTAAAAAAGAAAAAAAAAATTCCAAGTAGGTATTCATGTTCATGAGCCTGAGTGTGCCTCTCACTCAATCAATAAATATTTATCAAGCTCCTACTATGTGCCAAACTCTGAGCTAAGTGCTAGTAATTCAGTGAGGAAGACAAACAAGGTACCTCATGGAAAGAGAAACAAGGAAGTAAAGTAAACAGAACGATTTCATGGTCCATGAGTAGTGAGATGAAGGAAACAAACAGGGTGAAATGGCAACATTACTAAGAGGTGGAGAAGAGGCATACCTTAGTTAGGAAATCTATATAGATCCAAGGAGTCATGTATAACTTAAAAGCACAATTATTCAGCCATCTATTTTTCCCTTCTCAAACTCCCATCTCATGATTCTATGAGAGCAAGCTCAAGAAATAGGCTTGAATTTCCAGCAAAGGACAAGGCAAAGCATCAGTTAGGGATAATCAAAGTTCAACTGTGAATGTAAATAACTTTCATGCCAGACACTATATTACTTCGTAATTATAGAGCTTGACAATCTGGCATTATTAATACCATGGACATAAAGGACATATATAATAGGGTCCTTGTCCATAAAGTTTTTATAGCAAAGAATAAAAAACAACACACAAAAATAATCAACACGACAGCACCCATAAAATTTTAATGATGGGAAAAATGGTAAGTGGGCAGCAGTTTTCAGTTAAAGAATCATGGTAGAATGGAGAGATCCCCAGGATCTGAGTGATGATAGATTATGGTTTTTAAGCTAAGCAAATGCAGCGAAATAAGTTAGCCAGGCGCCCCCATGAGCTCTGCTCTTTTGTCTTTTGTCTTTGCTTTTCAAGCCTCTCTAGACTCCACAGCCAACTTTGACCACTTGCTGCTGTCCAAGAGTTTTCTCTAACGTAGCTCCAGGTCACTGTCTCTAAGAACTGGGGTCAAGGTCTACAAAGTAGCTGTACTATACTTCTTATGGAATCAAGTTTCTTGATTTTTAAAGCAACTGCAATTAATGGAACCTGTAAGTTAGTAATGATGAGTGACAGGTGGAACCTCGGCAACATTTTTATATTTACTGATTCACTGGATTTCTGGTTTTAGGACAAACTATGTGCACATGTTAATCCCAGGCTAATCTTCCTGTTCTTGTTTAAAACCTCCACTGTTCACTTCTCTTCTTATCCTTAGCCTTCTACTTCATCAAATTTACAAATTGTTTATAAAGAAGAATACGAACCAAAAAAAATCTGAATATATCACTCAGGGATAAAACTGGAAAACAACAACAAAAAAAATCTTAGGATTCCTGACTTTCAATCTACCAATAAAATCCACCCCCAATATTTAGTTACCAAGTTGAGTTTAGAGCTAGGTGGAAAAATTAGGAATATGGTATTTTCATTTACATTTTTGCCAGTTCAAAGGCAAACTCGTTCTCTCTAACAGAATTTAAGAGGGACCCATACTGGAGAAGCACCTTTATATTGGAGAATGGAGTGAGGAGCTCAACAACATAGCTGGAAAACATGTCGAGGACTTTTGAAGGTGCTCCAGTTGTACAACCTGGGAAAGTCCCTCACCCTCTCCGGAGCTAGTAGATCATGGAGGATGCTGGGAGCATGAAGGAGATAAAAGGCTTAAGAAGCATCCAGCCGAGTGCACGGCAAATGGTAGTGTTATCATTATGTGGAATATGAGGGGATAAAAGACCTTAGATAAGGAAATTCCAATGAATAAACCCTGTGGGAGAAGACATAATCAAAATATTAGCTGTTTGCTTCTCTCCCACAAAGTCTTCAAGCCAAGACCATTTTCAGGGCCCTTTCCACTTATCCTGTCTCCTGAGACCACAAGGTGGCTATCCACACTCACATGGATAGTTCAGGACAGCTCTACATCATAATAGCTCCTTCTTCTAGCATAGGAAACTCCCTGGAAATACAAGAGAAATAATCTAGGAATTGACTACAGAAAAAAAAAAAAATCAAGCATGAGTGTCTTTTTTTTTAAAGATTTTATTTTATTTATTTGACAGAGAGAACGCAAGAGAGGGAGCACAAGCAGGGGGAGTGGGAGAGGGAGGAGCAGGCTTCCTGTGGAGCAGGGAGCCCAAGACGGGGGTCGATCCCAGGACCCTGGGATGAATGACCTGAGCCGAAGGCAGACGCTTAATGACTGAGCCACCCAGGTGCCCCTCAAGCTTGAGTTTCTATGGAATTTAGTTCACATAGAATAGCCAAGAAGTTGATTTCTCAGGAAGGCTTTACACTCTTCGGTTCCTAGGGAATAATTTATCTCATCTTCAGTTGGGTACTTACGTCGGCTACATGTCAAGTTGTTTCTCTTGCCTTGAACACTATTAGATCTGGAAAACGGATGGCACATTCTTCAGTGCATGCCATGTAGCTTTGCATTTCATTCTCTCTCCTCCTTCCCCTCACTTAGTAAGAATTGTGCAGCATTTATACAAATAGGTCCCCAAAGTTCCCTGTATTAACGGGTCTAATTCCTTCTCCGCTTACTTCTGAGGCTCATCAAAAAAGAAGTTTCCTCTATTCCTGTCCACCTCCCACCTCCCAACACAGGCACACTATAAAGCTTAACTAGAGGACCGGATTGTTTGCAGTCTAGCATCTTTACCAAAATAAACATGAGTTTATGAACAGAAGTTAGGAAATTGGCAAGAAGGCTGAATGCTGATGCCCATCCTGAGTCTTAACACTGACCTTACTTTTAATAGTTTATTCGAAACATCCAATTCTTTTTTATTTTCCTGGTGTTGCACAATGATGGATAAGAAACAGTAATCCATGGGAACTATGGAGATTAGACCCCCACAAAAAGACTACACAGAAGTGGTCAGACATCTGCCACGTGGTCCCTCTTCTCCAGCACAGACAGATAAAATCTAGAGCTTTACACAATTCTTTTGGAGACTACCTACAGTGTTTCCTGATAAAGAAGATTAGGAAGAAAGTTTTTCTTCTTACAATGATTAAGGTCAGGTTCCTTTTTAGATTTGTAAAACCATTAAACAAAGGCAAATCTGGGGGTTCCTGGGTGGCTCAGTCCTTGAGCGTTTGCCTTCGGCTCAGGTCATGATCCCAGGGTCCTGGGATCGAGCCCCCGCGTCAGGCTCCCTGCTCAGCGGGGAGTCTGCTTCTCCCTCTCTCACTGCCCCTGCTTGTGTGTTCCCTCTCTCGCTGTGTTTCTCTCTGTCGGATAAATAAAATCTTTAAAAAACAAAAACCAAAAAACAAAAACAAAGGCAAATCTATCTGGTTGCTCTTCTGCTCTCTGCAGTCATTACTTTTATTGGTGACATAAGCTTTAGGCAGGCACAGATAGGGAAAATTCAAGGTCACAGACAGTATACTACCATAAACACGGATTCATGCTTATGGACTATGTTCTCATGATCAAGCAACCAGTTCAACTGGACTAATCCTGCCTTTTGATGACCTGCGCAGGGTCAGCAGATATTCTGAGAAATAGCTCTGGCCTTGTTTCAAGTGTCCCTGTAGGTGAACTTTAAAATTCTCTTGATGGCTTTATGAATTCCACACTTATATTGCCCTTTGGGGAGGGAGGCAGTAAAGGAGATGAAGAAGAGATATAATGCATTAATAAAATAGGGCTTAGGTGTCCCTCCGTCACTTGGCATTCCAACCCAATATACTTGAGTTGTTTAGAAAAAAAATAAAAAATAGAAAGTAGTAGCTCCCGGTAAATGGGAGGGGGAATATAATATGATGAACAGATAGGGGGAAGACCCTTCCCCTTGAAGGCTATGATGTTGTTCCACTCAACCCCTCTGCCCTGGCCTCACTCTGGTATTCCAAATTGACTGGCAGAAATTTGATAATAATTGTATGAATGTAACCACA